CAACATGGCAACATGTCAACATTGCAACATGGCAACATGTCAACATGGAGGCAACACGTCAACATGGCAACATGTCAACATGGCATCATGTCAACATGGCATCATGTCAACATGGCAACATGTCAACATGGCATCATGTCAACATGGCATCATGTCAACATGGCAACATGTCAACATGGCAACATGTCAACATGGCATCATGTCAACATGGCAACATGTCAACATGTCAACATGGCAACATGTCAACATGGCATCATCTCAACATGGCAACATGGCAACATGGCAACAATGAGGCAACACGTCAACATGGCAACATGTCAACATGGCAACAATGAGGCAACATGTCAACATGGCAACATGTCAACATGTCAACATGTCAACATGGCAAACATGTCAACATGGCATCATGTCAACATGGCAACATGTCAACATGGCAACATGTCAACATGGCAACATGGCAACATGTCAACATGGCATCATGTCAACATGGCAACATGTCAACAAGGCAACAATGAGGCAACACGTCAACAAGGCAACATGTCAACATGGCAACAATGAGGCAACACGTCAACATGGCAACATGTCAACATGGCAACATGAGGCAACACGTCAACATGACAACATGTCAACATGGCAACATGTCAACATGGCAACATGTCAACATGGCAACAATGAGGCAACACGTCAACATGTCAACATGGCAACATGTCAACATGGCAACAATGAGGCAACACGTCAACAAGGCAACAAGGAGGCAACACGTCAACATGGCAACATGTCAACATGGCAACAATGAGGCAACACGTCAACATGGCAACATGTCAACATGGCAACAATGAGGCAACACGTCAACATGGCAACAATGAGGCAACACGTCAACATGGCAACATGTCAACATGGCAACAATGAGGCAACACGTCAACAAGGCAACAAGGAGGCAACACGTCAACATGGCAACATGTCAACATGGCATCATGTCAACATGTCAACATGGCATCATGTCAACATGGCATCATGTCAACATGGCAACAAGGAGGCAACACGTCAACATGGCAACATGTCAACATGGCAACAATGAGGCAACATGTCAACATGGCAACATGTCAACATGGCAACAAGGAGGCAACACGTCAACATGGCAACAATGAGGCAACACGTCAACATGGCAACATGTCAACAAGGAGGCAACACGTCAACATGGCAACATGTCAATATGGCAACAATGAGGCAACACGTCAACAAGGCAACAAGGAGGCAACACGTCAACATGGCAACAATGAGGCAACACGTCAACACGTCAACATGGCAACAAGGAGGCAACACGTCAACATGGCAACATGTCAACATGGCAACATGGCAACAAGGAGGCAACAAGTCAACATGGCAACAAGCAACATGGCAACATGTCATCATGTCAACATGTCAACATGGAGGCAACATGTCAACATGTCAACATGGCAACATGTCAACATGGCATCATGTCAACACGTCAACATGGCAACATGTCAACATGGCAACAATGAGGCAACACGTCAACATGGCAACAAGGAGGCAACATGTCAACATGGCAACATGTCAACATGGCAACATGTCAACATGGCAACATGGAGGCAACATGTCAACATGGCAACATGGCATCATGTCAACATGGCATCATGTCAACATGGAGGCAACATGTCAACATGTCAACATGGCAACATGTCAACATGGCATCATGTCAACATGTCAACATGTCAACATGTCAACATGTCAACATGGCAACATGTCACCAAGGAGGCAACATGTCAACATGTCAACATGGCAACATGTCAACATGGCAACATGTCAACATGGCGACATGTCAACATGGCATCATGTCAACATGTCAACATGGAGGCAACATGTCAACATGTCAACATGGCAACATGTCACCAAGGAGGCAACATGTCAACATGTCAACATGGCAACATGTCAACATGTCAACATGGAGGCAACATGTCAACATGTCAACATGGCAACATGTCAACATGGCATCATGTCAACATGTCAACATGGAGGCAACATGTCAACATGTCAACATGGCAACATGTCAACATGGCATCATGTCAACATGTCAACATGGAGGCAACATGTCAACATGGCAACATGTCAACATGGCAACATGTCAACATGGCATCATGTCAACATGTCAACATGGAGGCAACATGTCAACATGTCAACATGGCAACATGTCAACATGGCATCATGTCAACATGTCAACATGTCAACATGGCAACATGTCAACATGTCAACATGGCAACATGTCAACATGGCAACATGTCAACATGGCGACATGTCAACATGGCAACATGTCAACATGGCAACATGTCAACATGGCATCATGTCAACATGGCATCATGTCAACATGGCAACATGTCAACATGGCATCATGTCAACATGGCAACATGTCAACATGGCATCATGTCAACATGGCATCATGTCAACATGGAGGCAACATGTCAACATGGCAACATGGCAACATGTCAACATGTCAACATGTCAACATGGCAACATGTCAACATGGCAACATGGCATCATGTCAACATGGCATCATGTCAACATGGCATCATGTCAACATGTCAACATGGGCAACATGTCAACATGTCAACATGGCAACATGTCAACATGGCATCATGTCAACACGTCAACATGGCAACATGTCAACATGGCAACAATGAGGCAACACGTCAACATGGCAACATGTCAACAAGGAGGCAACATGTCAACATGGCAACATGGCAACATGTCAACATGGCATCATGTCAATGGCATCATGTCAACATGGCAACATGTCAACATGGCAACATGTCAACATGGCATCATGTCAACATGGCAACATGTCAACATGGAGGCAACATGTCAACATGGCAACATGTCAACATGTCAACATGTCAACATGGAGGCGAAATTTGTGAAGTTTTCCTTTATTTTTCTTACAAATGTTTGACTTTTTAAACTCAGATTTTTTTTCTGAGATTAAAATCAAAATTTGAAACTTTTTGCAGCAAATTTTTTAAGAGTAATTGTAAAGATTTATCTGAAAGTTGATCAGGATGAATTTTTTCTTTTAGTGGGATGCCATAAATGTCAATAATAAAACAAAGACATATTTCCTCCGTGGGAAACATAATATCGGCTTCATCAATATTTATGTGGGCATCAATATTCTAGTGCTGGTTATTGGAGTTGCTGTGGCGACCAGCAGCATCAGCGACCCGGCGGCTCGGAGAATCCTCCAACAGAACTTCCTCTGCAACAGGAAGCAGACGCCTGCGCTAGCCGCTGGATTAGCATCGCTGCAGGCTTCCAATAAACAGAGGCAACAGTAATAAAGTCTGAATCAATGATGGATCCAGAAGTTTGTTTGCAGTGAACAGCAGATCTGATGCCGAGGATCAGAGAAAACAATGCTGCTGGTTTCTACAAAATATGCAAAGAAGCGATGAGAGGAAGAATAACTTCCTGTTCTTAACTAATGTTGAATCAGATAGAAACAGAAAATTATCACCATAATTTGAGGAGCAAATTTTTAACTTAATGCTTTTGAATCCTGCAGAAAAATGAATTTAGATGTTAAATGTTTTTAAAGTGAGTAAAACACAACATAAGGGAAGCTAAACATGCAAAGAGTTTCCAAGGATAGAAAGCATCCTGGAGCATTAAGATGAGCTTTTTATTTATAAATTAGCAGGTTGGCTCTCCACCGTTAGCGTCATTTTCCAAAAAGCCCCTTCATTTCAATCTTTGCTCTGAGCGTTTATATATATATCATTTATGTAACTGTAAATGTGATGAAGGATTCCTTCTGCTTGTTTGTATTTCAGATGCAGGTTTCATGTTGTCTGCAGCTTCATTTGCTCCATGTTTCCATGTGAACTCAGTGGAACCAGGCGGCTGTTCCACGCTTCGTTTCCTGTTTTCCTTTCACATCTCGTCTTGGCGCTGATCTGGCCGCCGCCCAGCCGACCGACACAAAGCTCAGAGTCCCTCCACTTCGCTGCTCACAGCCTCTTTATTCTGCAGATTCTTATTAATATTTGATCTGACTTGGAAACTCTGAACACCTGACTGCCTCTGAAAGATATTCCATCTCTGTAGGACTTTTATCTTCCTGTTTAATCCTCAGAAGGATTCGTGGCTCAGTTTAAAACCGTCGTGTCGCCGTCGGACTCGTTGTGATGCAACACAGAACAGCTGGAGCGGTTTGGGCGAAACTCGATTAACGACCAATGAGTGGATTTCTGATCAGCAACATCGATATCAGACGACAGACGATGTCAGCAGCAAACAGCAGAAATCATGTCAAAAACAAGCCTTCAAACAACAAAGGAATTTTGCACCAGTTCACAAAATCAGAAAATAAAAATGATCAAGTAAAAAAAATAGCAACGAATGAAGATTAGCAGAAACTGTTTGGAGTTTCATGAGGTCACTTCCTGCATGAAAACGCTGAGCAGACGTTGGTTCCTTCCTCAGTCTGAAGGCTCCAGTTCCCTAAAACGGCCCATCAGGGCAGCAGCATCACGACCAAGACGAGAACCAACACATGGAAACAAACTGAGGATTCAACCTGCTCAGTCCGTCTGCCTAGTCAAAGTCCGGTTCAGTTGGTGAGGTGTGAACACTAATTGACCTCTGACCTCTGGTCCTCCAGGTCTGAGTTCAGTTTGAATGTGAACGCCAAGCGGACCAGAGAGCGCTCCACAAGCAGGAAGTGGACTACAGCGCAGGGCATTCTGGGTAAATCCAACCTAAGCTAACATGCTAGCCTAGCGCTAGCAGCAGAAATGGCTCCTGGTCCAATGAGATGAAGGCCTGAGGTCAGCAGGTCACATTTTGAGGTCAGGATTTGGATCAGAGACCCTGACATCACATGACTGATAAAACTTTTCTCTCTTTAGTCTCTCCTCCTGACGTCCAGCGGTTGGGACCATAAACCTTCAGCTTCATGTTGATGATCTGAACCTGAATCAGAAACTCACCCAGAAAAATGATGGTTTGCTTCCGGGCCGCCTTGGTGGTTTCGCTCTCGTGCTTTCCGGGCCTTTCGGTCCCGTTGATTCCGCCGTCCGTGGATCCCAGCGGCTTCTTCAGCACCAGGATCATGGCCCGGCACATGAAGGCCACGCAGACCAGCACGATGATGTAGAGGACAAACGCCCCGAAGATGCTGGCCCTGTACATCAGCCAGTGCTCCTTCAGGTTGGTGCAGAAGCTCAGCTGCTCGCCCTGCGTTCCCGTGGCGATCAGCAACGGCAAGGCAACGAGGACGGACACGACCCAGGCGAAGGCGATCAGAACCGAGGTCCGTCTGCCGCTCAGCGCCTTGTAGCGGAACGGGTGGCAGATGGCGACGTAGCGCTCAAAGCTGAGCGTGGCCACGTTGAGGATGGTGGCGTAGCTGCACGCCTCAAACAGGAAGTTGTAGATCTTGCAGGACGCGTTTCCGGACGCGGATCCGAAGGGAACCCAGATGGCGCTGTAGAGCTCCACCGGCATGCCGATGAGCAGAAACCAGCAGGTCGGAGCTGGCCAGGCTCACCATGTGGTCCGTCACGTTCTTCTGCAGGTAGCCGTTTCGCCTCAGCACCTGCGTCACCCGGATGGTCACTGAATTACCCACAATGCCTGCAACCAGCATGAGCGAGTAGAGGAGCGTCATGCAGACCTTGGCGGGATAAGTGGGCTCCAGTTGGCTCCAGTCGATCCCCACATCGGTCTCGTTGCTGTCGCTCATCGCGCAGCGCAGCTGGGATCCGATCCAGGTATCGATTATCTTATCAGCTTCAGGTCACAGTCCCTCTGGACGGAACCGGCGGGCCAGAACCACCGAACCGCACACAGGTTCCTCCACAATAATCCCAACTCACCTAGAGGTTTATCAGTCACTTTTACACTCAGATCCAAAAAAGTTTCAATAAATCTCCAAACTGGACTCTGGTTCTGGTTCTGTCCTGAAGCCCTGTCCGGTCCGGTTCGTCTCTGTCTGGATGAATGGCTTCATTGCGCCTGGTTCCGGCTCGGTGCGAGTTTCCTCCTCCCTCCAGGCCGTTAAACATTAAACACATGCAGCCTTATCAGCATTAAAGCTCTGAATCTCTGCTCCTCTCAGAGCGAGAGGAAACAGCTGCTGCAGCACTCACTACCTGCTGCAGCACTCACTACCTGCTGCAGCACGCAAACACCTGCTGCAGCACGCAAACCCAGGCTGAGCAGCATCCTGCAGGAATGCTGCTCAGCCTGGGTAAATATATTTATTTTACCCAGGCTGGTGTTTTACATCAGTTTATTATTTATGCAGCACGCAAACACCTGCTGCAGCACGCAAACACCTGCTGCAGCACGCAACATCTAAACCGTTTAACACTTTGCAGCATCTCACTGCAGACTGGATGAAATCTTTTCCCTTTAGCCTGATGGGATCTGTGGTCAAACTCACATGTTTCAACTGGAAAACACTGAATTACATTATTAAAATATGTTTTGCTAGCATCCCTAAAATGATACATGTTTTGCAAAAACTCTTATTCTGATAACCAGATAGGACATTTAACTTATAAGTTAATTTAGCACTGATAAAAATTTACAAGTATTTTAGTCAGCGCTTCCAGGATGACCAAGGGCTAGCTAAGCTAAAGTTAGCTCCTGAGAGCTAATGACGTCCTCATAAAGCTACCAGGATGACTTCCTAACGTTGATTTACAAGCCTTGGTCTGTTTATTTATTCGTTACGTCAATCAAGTTAATTTACAGTTTGCTTTTAAAGTTTAAAGAACAGGAAACATGCCTAGATTAAAGTTCAGCCTTTATATTCAATGAATTATAATTTCCCTTAAGGTGGATTAATTCCAGTAACTCCATCAGTAATAAATATTTATTTTACCCAGGCTGGTGTTTTTACATCAGTTAATTATTATATTGTTCTCATTAACTAATATTCAAACACTGACGCTTGAATGTTTTGGTGAAGTTTTTAAAATCAGTTTTCCATAATAACTGAGACGGAAACAAACTGGCTCCAAGCCAACTGAAGCCTCCATGGCTGGTTGGTATAACTCAAAGGTCAAAGGTTGACTGTGCTTGCCTAACAGGGAGTTACGACATATTTAGTTGATTTATTGTCTTATTACGGTGCAGAACTGTTTTGAACGTTGCTGATACCGAGATCCCAGAAAAGGGAAGATAAATATTAGCGTGGCCGTCAGTCTGGTGATAAGAGCAGAGGGAAACCAGAGTTTATATTAAATCCTCCCAACAGACTCATCCTGCAGGAATGCTGCTCAGTTTAGCCCAGGCGTTCCCAGACAGCAGCGCCCCCTACCGGTACTGCATGCAAACGACCGTTTTGACGTTAGCTTACCATGGCTTTATGTTTAAAAGTAATAAAGCTTCAGATCCCAACACAAAATAAAAGCTGAATAAAACATGAATGTTACAAAACTTCGACTGTTTCCGACATGCAGCCATAGTTCACCGCCATCTTTGATCCGAGGCCTGAACCTACAGACCAAACACTAATTATAGACTAAATATTTAGTTCCAAACTGAGACATTTGGAAACTGACAGTGAAAACGTGACTCCCCTGGATGCAGGATGTTCAATCAGGAACTGTGACTGCTCCCCCTACAGGGCGGGATGAAGATAACCAGGAAGTGACCTAAGAATCAGCCTGTGATTGGCTGAGACACGTTTCCAAAACAAAACACACCTCACTCTGAATTTTAGAAAGATATGTTTTTAATAGTGCACTGAAGTATGAAAACAGTTTTGAAAAATAAAGAATTATTCACGAACTGGTTGATAAAGGGGCGATTATTATTAACAAGATAACTTTTTAAGCTTTTTTCTTTAGATTGTACAACATCCTCAAAACAAGACAGAGAACCTGAGAAAGAAAACCAACCCATGATTTCACAAGCACCATTATAAAACATTAATGTTCTTTAAATCTTCTCAGCTGAAATCACCACAGAAGAAAAAAACAGAAAGTGCAACAAACAAAAACCAAGAAGCAAAAACATTTAACCGGACGAACCGAGAAGAGTCGGTTTCTTCTGCTGAGGACGAGTTCACAGGAAGGAACGATAAAGTAGGAGAAGAAGAAGAAGAAGAAGAAGAAGAAGAAGAAGAAGAAGTGCTTTGTTTGAGGACAGAAGTCCCGGCAGACAGGAAGCTCCGCTGCGTTTTCAGCATCACTCAGTAGAAATCTGTAGTGATTGATAAATAAACGTGTTTCTTCGCCTGAAACGAGTTTCTGCTCTGATCTCCATTAAACGGAGGAAACTCAGAGCAACCTGAATCATTTCATTTCCTCTGAGGTTAAAGGTCAATCCATCCAGGAGAAATTAGTGTTCTGGTCCAGCGGTTCTCCGTCACGTTTAGTTCTTCACTGGTTTTGAGCTTCAGTTTGTTCTCAGGTCCAGATCAGCTGTTCTGGTTTCATTCGCCTCAAACGAAGCAAATAAAGTTGGATTTAACTGGATGTTTGATTTTAAACTGATTCCTGAAAACAGCAGCACTAAGTAGAGCCGACTCAGCAGAACGACGATCCGACCCGGAACCGGTTCTACAAAACCAGAACTGACACAAACAACCACAAATACAAGATCAGGCTGGATGGATGGATGACAGGCACAGGTTCAACGCCCAGGAAGCTTCCAGCCTGTTGGCTCAGCGGCTCCACAGCTGCAAGAGAAGGAAAAACTCTTCATAGATCCGTCCTATATAGATCCGTCCTACATAGATCCGCCCTATATAGATCCACCCTATATAGATCCACCCTACATAGATCCACCCTATATAGATCCACCCTATATAGATCCGTCCTATATAGATCCGTCCTACATAGATCCGCCCTACATATCCGCCCTACATAGATCCGCCCTACATAGATCCGCCCTATATAGATCCACCCTACATAGATCCGCCCTACATAGATCCACCCTACATAGATCCGTCCTATATAGATCCACCCTATATAGATCCACCCTATATAGATCCGCCCTACATAGATCCGCCCTACATAGATCCGCCCTACATAGATCCGTCCTATATAGATCCACCCTACATAGATCCACCCTACATAGATCCGCCCTACATAGATCCACCCTACATAGATCCACCCTACATAGATGCGTCCTACATAGATCCACCCTACATAGATCCACCCTATATAGATCCACCCTACATAGATGCGTCCTACATAGATCCACCCTACATAGATCCACCCTACATAGATCCACCCTACATAGATCCACCCTACATAGATCCGCCCTACATAGATCCACCCTACATAGATCCACCCTACATAGATCCACCCTACATAGATCCGCCCTACATAGATCCGTCCTATATAGATCCACCCTACATAGATCCGCCCTATATAGATCCACCCTACATAGATCCACCCTACATAGATCCACCCTACATAGATGCGTCCTACATAGATTCGCCCTACATAAATCCGCCCTACATAGATCCACCCTACATAGATCCACCCTATATAGATCCACCCTACATAGATCCGTCCTACATAGATCCGCCCTACATAGATCCGCCCTACATAGATCCACCCTACATAGATCCACCCTACATAGATGCGTCCTACATAGATTCGCCCTACATAGATCCACCCTACATAGATCCGTCCTATATAGATCCACCCTACATAGATCCGTCCTACATAGATCCACCTATATAGATCCACCCTATATAGATCCACCCTACATAGATCCGTCCTACATAGATCCGCCCTACATAGATCCACCCTACATAGATCCGTCCTATATAGATCCACCCTACATAGATCCGCCCTACATAGATCCACCCTACATAGATCCACCCTACATAGATCCACCCTATATATCCACCCTACATAGATCCGTCCTACATAGATCCGCCCTACATAGATCCACCCTACATAGATCCGTCCTATATAGATCCGCCCTACATAGATCCGCCCTACATAGATCCGCCCTACATAGATCCGCCCTACATAGATCCACCCTACATAGATCCGTCCTATATAGATCCACCCTACATAGATCCGTCCTATATAGATCCACCCTACATAGATCCGTCCTACATAGATCCACCCTACATAGATCCGTCCTATATAGATCCACCCTACATAGATCCGTCCTACATAGATCCACCCTACATAGATGCGTCCTACATAGATTCGCCCTACATAGATCCGCCCTACATAGATCCGCCCTACATAGATCCACCCTACATAGATCCACCCTATATAGATCCACCCTACATAGATGCGTCCTACATAGATCCGCCCTACATAGATCCACCCTACATAGATCCGTCCTATATAGATCCACCCTACATAGATCCGTCCTACATAGATCCACCCTATATAGATCCACCCTACATAGATCCGCCCTACATAGATCCACCCTATATAGATCCGTCCTACATAGATGCGTCCTACATAGATCAGTTTTTCAGGAACGTTTAACTAACTCAACATGTCACATTAGTCATTCTGAAATGGAAATATTAACTGATGATACATGTGAAGTTCTGAAATCAGACTGACCTTCAGAAGGACGATCCGTCCTGCGGGGGAAACCGAGTGCAGAGGAATAAGGCTTTCAGACTGTTCGTCTGACAGTCTGAGGAGGAAGAGGCACATTGTCATCATCATCCTCACAAAACATATTCTCTCCATATTTGGGTTTTACCCTTAAAAGCCAGCAGCTTTGTTTTATTAACTTTTAAATACTTGTTCGTTTCTGCAACAATGGAGGCCGAATCTTCCGGCCATTAGTTAGCATGACAAACGATGAACTACGACGACTCAGACCGCAGGGTGAAGGTCTGAGCCAATCAGCTTCCGTTATTACAGTGATGTCAGAACGGCATCACACCAGGAAGTCACTCCACAACAGAACTGATGTGACCAGAACCTGCAGATGTTCTGCAGCTGATCCCATCTGAACTCGTCTGACTTTCTTC